GTATTGTTTATTATTTCACTTATACTGAAGATGGCATCATGAGATGTCGAAACATGTCTATTTTAAAAAAACTCGTCGTGTATATTAAATGCGCATTAGCAATAGTGCTTTTACGAAATTATCAATAAATTATCCAAGTTCTGGAGAGGCTGTCTCTGTGTGTAAGCATACTGCAACCCTCATCTGGATCTGCCACTGATTTCTACTTTGATTTTTTAGTCTAAAAGATTATCCTCTACCAGAATTCAACAGAGAAAGTGTTTTCTAAAAATGTTGGCTTCACCTGTCAATCCAGCTGATTTGAATGCGCTTCAAGGTGGGGAGTGCAATTGATACCATTATATGCATGCCTTCCCCCCCTTGAAATTCTTGGTCCGTCATTTTCTATTTAGGATTGTATCCCATCAAACCTTCCCTGCCTGCAGTTGGTGGTAACGAGGGTGTTGGCGAAGTGTTGGCAGTTGGTGATGATGTGAAGTCTGTCAGTGTTGGAGACTGGGTATTAATGAGAAATGCAGGACTTGGTATTAGCCAATCATATGAGTTAACTCGATTAGACTTTTTCAGCAAATAGTTTTATTGTATTTTTGATACAAATTTGCAAAGGTGGTTGGATGGAGATGAAGGTATTGAAAGAGGATGATTGCGTCAAAATTCCAGTAAAAAATGGTCTTTCTATGAAAGATGCAGCCATGTTGTCTATAAATCCCTGTACAGCTTACAGAATGTTGAAAGACTTTCAACCATTGCAAGAAGCTGTATATCTGAAATCTATTTCACAAAATCTCGAACTGCATTGCTTTGAAATGTAGAATTGTTTTACACAAACCATGCAACGAGACGTTTACTATTGTCACAAGTTGAAACTGTACAATTTACGTTGTATCAACCCCAACATCATGATGATAAATTTTATTTTAACCATTGAAGACAGAAAGTGAGAATTAATAATCTTCAATATTTTAATCAAGAAAATATTATTCAAAAAAATTTAATTCCTCAATTCAAAAGAACTTATGTCAAAATCGTAAAAGTTTTATTTATTTTCATCACAGTTATTGACATGACGTCATGATGTTTTTACAAACGGGAATTGTTGACAGTATATAACATTTTCTGTCTTTAAGATCAAATGTACATAACAAACGAACAAAAATGATCTCTCACATTTTTCAACTAATGACCATAAAACCCAAATAGTGTTTTTATTCATGTGAATTTTTAACAGCATACAAAACCTATTTCCACGATATTAAATTGTATTTACAGTTCTTGAAAGCATGTCTAAAGAAATTCACTCAATTATAATTTCATCAAAATAATCTTCCTCTACAACACCACCATATTATCAAATAACTCATAAAGAATGAGTTGTCGACATTCTTTCATTTCTATGTAGTGAATGTTTAATATATAATATTATATAATAGTCGGAAGAATTTAAGCAAATTTCATTGGTCGAGAGCTATGATCTATAACAGGACAGACACACGGAATTGAAGTCACAGAAAATTCCTTGTTTTTAAATGACAAATGAATGGAGAATTTATTTGAATACTTACCTGAATATATCCCTGAATGGGCAAATAAAGAAATTAAAAATGCCTAGTTGAAGCATTGGACGCATTTGAGCAAAAAGAAAAGAAAAAATCCGGTTTTCAAACATTGATTTGCCCGGCGGCTCGTGGCCACTCAGTTTTTATCACAATGACGTCATACCCGTGTATCTATAACTGTATAGACAACGGTTAAATGTTATCTATTTGTTGAATAAAAATAACCAAATTATCTAACCATACTTTTTTATTAAAAAGTAAATCATCAACATGAAATTTGTTCAGAGATACAATACATAATAATAAGTTTGACAGAGCATCTTACAGTAGTAGTCTAATCAAGAGGATGCCCTGTTTAAATGACAATTCATTTATGAAGATTACAAGTAGAATCTTAGAAAGGAATAAACAAATATTCATGATCAATTAGTATAGAAACGCTCTTTTTAAATACAAGTCATTTGTGTTATAAAAAGCAATTATACATCGTTTCAGATTATTGCAAAACATAGATAATATTTTACATTCTTTAATAGCAGGAGGTAAGATATTCCAAGAAATATTACCGATAAATTTAAAAGATCTTTTGCAAAATTGGTCCAAATTTATTTCTGGTAAATATAGATAATTTCTTAAAGATTGCCTGGTAGAATAAGTATACTTCTTCTGTAGAAAACTATAGTAGGTGGAAACAAGCAATCATCCTTACGACCATCAACATCTATGTGCAATTTTCTCAAAAGTTTTTGAATTTACTATTAAAATTTGAGTTGATGTATTTATTCAGGAACATTAAGTTTTAAAAATCGAATTCTGCAATTTGATTTGCCAACAATAGCTAAAGTTCCTGTATTGGAATGCATAGTTATATGAGGCTTAGTAAAATAACCTTCGTTAAATCGAGCGCATTCTTTACCAATCTTTAAATCTACAGCAACCAATGAATGACTAAACACTCCAATGCAATAAGATTTGTGTATGATTAGGTCGGAGAACAAAAAATATCCAGAGAAATAATGCAAAATCTCATTCACATCACCATTCTCGTGAACATTAATTACATAAATGGCCTTAATATGGGCGTATTTGATAAATGTTATGACTGCTTGTTTACTATCACTTATACAGCATTTGAACTTAAGATCATTTACAGTTATCTGTTGTTGAACATATTCTTCAATGATAACTCTTATGGGTATTTCTGCAGTATGCCAAGGTTTCAAGTAAAGTTCATTGTTGTTATTTCTCCATTTCCATAATGTGTATTCTGTTTCGTTTACAGTTAAAATAACAGAATTATCAGGTGATACAGCTGCTGCTTTAAATTCAAATCTATCGACAGGAAGTCTTTTGTTGTATTGTATCTCACCCTTGGTAATTCTAACAACTTGAACACAATCTAGTTCGTCAATACAAACTAAGACATCACCAAATGTTAAGATTTTCTGAGGTCTAAATCCAATGTTAACATACTTTGCTTGAGTGGAATCTACAAAATTTTCAGATGAAGTTGATATCTTCATAAGTTGATCAGAACCATCCCATATCCACAGTAAACCATCCGACCACCAACATCCTAATGCATTCTTCAGTTGTATTGGTACAGTTTGAATAATAGTACAACGTTCAATGCTCCAAATATAAATGTTGGCGTGGTCACCAACAGCGAAAGCAGCCAAAAAAGATCCATCCGGTGAAAAACAACAACATTTAATTTCAAAATTCTCAAAGATAAATGAAGGTGTCCTAAGATGATCAGTTTTGAACATTTTAAGCTTGGAAAAATAAGGCACAACGTAAAATTCCTTAAACGAGATTGGATGGACTTTGTTAAGAGTCCTATCAACACATAGACACTGAACATTTGGTAAAAAAAACTCGATTTCTCCTTTATCGTTGTATTTTGTCAACTGAGTGATTTCAGAAAGCTTTCCAACCTGGTTTGTATAATAAAAAATACAATCACGATAATGGTGTGCTATCTTTGAAGGCAAAGATAGTAAATACCTATTTGTTGCAAAAATATCGATTACTTTTGGGAATTGAAAAACATACGAAGTCTCGACGAGTTCTGTAACAAAGAACTCTGAATATTTATCGGTGCATTGTAGTTTTTGGTAATCAACAACGCAGCGTCGCTCGATTCTTTGCAAAGTTAATGAATTCCATGCAGTGAACACTTTTATAACTGCATTGAACATAAGATCCTCATCTTTTACATATTCTGCTGTAATAAACAAACCAGAATCAGAGAAAGAGCAATGATTAACGACATCATCTGACTGTAAACATAATAACAAACGTCCATTGTTAACATCCCATAACTTTACTTCAGTAGATCCATCACTAGTTACCAGTCTATTTCCGGTAGGTGAAAAGGAGCAACAACAGATGTTTCCACGTACAAAACAGGATTTCTTTGTTAATGGATCGTAATTTTTGTCATACAGGGACATAAATTTGTCTAGATCATCTCCATCATCCCATTTATCCAACCTTGAATCATCGAGTGCAGTGCCTAAAGTGCATCGTTGTTCGAATTTTGGAAGCTCAAAAATAGAGATTTGACCATTTTCATATCCTACAGCAAGAAGTTCTTCATTGGACGACACACAAAGAGATGTAATGTTAGCACGCAAGGAGACAGTCAAATGATGATGGTTTGTTAAATATGTTGAATCTAAATCCTCAAACCAAACAAACTTTCCTTGTTTCAATAAATCCCTTGCCAATAATCTTTTTTCGTTACTGCCATCAATTCTGTTTGCAATAATTTGTAAATAAATTAAGCTTTTATCATACATATATGAATGCTCTCCCGCCATAAACAAATGAAATAGTAGTTCATCAAGTACATCTTTTTTCAAGAAGTTTCGTGTTTCCTTAATGATTTCACACAATTCAGACCAAATGGTAATCCTGTTAATGTCTTCCACAACCATTAACCTCGCACAAAACACTTTGACATCTACTGCCCAACTAAAGTCAACATTTTCGCCACTTTTTAACATATGATAGACTCCATTCTTCAATGCATATTTAATCATAGCAGTGTTCATCTGATCTTCAAAAATGTTCATCGACTTGATTTGTTTAAACACTTTCTCACAAGCATGCCATAAGAACTTATGACCATTTTTTGGATCAACTGTAAACTCATGCTCTTCATAACCATCTGATTTCAACCAATCAATGAGAGATTTGTGATACACGGTCAAATAATCATCGTAAATTGGAAAAATTTGAGATAGCACTTCACGTATTTTAATACGATCTTTAAACTTCATGTCATCAGAAAAAACTAAACATTGAAAAAGAAAAGACAAAGGCAAAATACTTTGATAAGTCACCAACACTTCAAGACATTCCGTGAAGTTTTTATCGGAAATAACGGTTTTGTGTGTTGATAAAATTAATCCTTTCAATAATTTATTTAATCTCTTGAATTGTTCTGTGTAAAATTTACTCAATCCAGTAGGAACCAATTGTTCAATATTCTCGACAGTTAACTCAATTTCTTCTTTTTTTTAACTCAGTTGTGCGTGGTAAGCGTACAGAAATGAGCCCTCGCATTTTTCAACTAATGACTGAAGAGCGTAGGGATATCCTTGCACCCGAACATTCAACAGATGTCTCAAAAACTTGCGAGGGAATTCTTCGTTGTTTTCATCACGATCATCGTCATCAATGCCAAATGAGTGATCACTGTCATCCATGTCAAATGAGACATCACTGACATCCATGTCAAATGAGACATCACTGTCATCACTGTCTTTTTGCCACCTGTCAGCAATGAAGTAATTACTATTCAACTGATGTCTCAAATACTTGCGCTGGTCTTCTTCCTTGTTTTCATCACGATCATCGTCATCAATGTCAAATGAGACATTACTGTCATCACTGTCTTTGTGCCACCTGTCAGCAATGGAGAAATTACTCTTCAACTGATGTCTCAAATACTTGCGCAGGTCTTCTTCGTTGTTTTCATCACGAGCATGAGTTGTAATTTCCACAGGATTCATGTCTTTCAACTCCTTTTGAACAGGAAGTTCTGGACGACTGGTGATGAAGATTTTAATCCATTTAGGCAGTCGGTCAAACTCTTCTGCAATCAATTCCAACAATTCACTTTTGCCATCAACTTGGCTTTCATCTAAGGCATCAATAACCAAAAGCATTGGTTCATGATCTTCCAATGAATGCAATGGATTATTTAATAAAACACGGAATGCATCGGTGACTGATTCGTAGGAATGTTTTCTCTGTAATTCTTCATTCAGTTTACATTTAAAATCTAATATTGTATCACACATGCTACAGGCCAATGATTCTATCAATATTCGAGGATTCCTCTCATCTGATCGATTATATCTGCAGAAATGAGAAGCAGCAAGTTTCTTCTTTTCAGAATATCGTCGACAAACCTCAGCAGCAAAGACACTTTTACCAACGCCAGGACCGGCAATCAAAATCATGACATTAGAAGCATCTTCACTTGTATCGTTAAACCAAGTGTCGAGTTTTTCAAACAACCATTGTCTAGTGCCTTTAAGGTATTTTGTGTTAAGCTCTTTTATAAGACCTTTGAAATTAAACTTCGAAAGATTCGAACATGTTTTTCCCAGTAACATTTCTCTTGCTTCTATTAAATTGAATTTGGTTGTTACCTCTTGTTTTATTTCTGCAACATCAGCTTTTGTTGGCATGCTTTCTTTAATTTTCTCCATGTCATTTTTCATTTCATTAACATTTTTTTTGTTTTCAGCAAGATCTTTTCTCAATTCTTTCACATCTTCTTCATTACACGAATTTTTCAATATTTCAATATATTTTACTTCATCAGGACTGAGTGGAGCTTTCTTTAATTCATCTATTTCAGTTTGTTGAATACCCAGACCAACCAAGGCTTTTGAGATTTCATCCCACAAGCGCTCAAACTCACTTTCATCTACACTAGTTTTAGTTATGTGACCGTACACTTCGTTTCGATAAAACTTTATTCTTGCAATATTTGCTGAGATTGAAGTATCTGAAGAAGAAGGATTATTCCATCCACCATGTGGCGCTGATAGACCACATATGTTACGCAATAAGACAGTCAATAATGAAATATCAAAGTTTTTAATGTCAGGTGAACCAGTTGATGGATAAAGAAGGTTCCATTGCTTTTTGCTGATGACTTTGAATTTTAGTGATGTCAACTTACTCTTTGTAGAAGGATCATTGAATTTTGCTGCCAAATTTAAAGGGTTTAACAAAGTTTGGAATTTTTCTTTCAAGGCTTGTGTTCCTATATTTATCAAAAGTTTACTTAAACGAGATCCGTTTGCCTCAAACTTCAGTTTTTTAGGTGGTGAAGCCATTTTTCAAGCTAGAAATGAAGAACGAGTTTGTGCAAAAAGCATCAATTTGTAATGTACAAAATGAGCACAAATGTTAAAAGGACAAATTAAAAATAGTACTACAAGTCATTTATAAAGACTTGTGTGCTTCATTTCTTTCTCTCAATAAAAGTTGTGTTCACTGCCTAGTGACATGACCCAGTAATTGATCTTACATCAAGGCATTAAAATAGTTGACTTGATACAATATAAAAACACTTAAAATGATAATATCTTCGCCTACTCGGAGCAAGAGGCAGCAAGTACCTTGAAATAGTAACTCCTAGTTAATAAATAGTATGTCTTATTTGTCTAACAATCGTGTGGTGAAGAGATACGTTGTTCTTTTAAAGTGTTTATATTACGAATTTTAGCCCCCCTTTTTTATTAGCTAAATTGAAAGACCTTGTTTCAGTGATTTTGAATCCGCAATTATAATTGAAATTGGATTGGTGAAAGTGACTTTACGGACGTTCAAAGTCACGATTTTCAGCATTTTTTTTGCGAACTTTTTGATCGGTATGCTAATGACTTGTGACGTAAAAGTTGAACACATATATCAACATGGCGTATTCTACTAGTAATCTTAATAAGAAACGCGGAGGAAAACGCTGTGTTACTTGGTAACCAAATTAAATTAGTTGCGCCAATGATTCAAAAACCGAAGAAATGTCGATGCATCTGTTTCCTGAAAAAGAAACAGAGCCGCAAAGACATAGAAAATGGGTAAATTTTGTGCGTAAACATAGACCAGGTTGAGGCTTCCTCTACCTCGTGTCTGTGTTCTGCGCATTTTGAAGATTCATGTTTTGACCTTAATTTGAGCGTGCAAGTCAAGCTCAAAAGAATGAATCAAGCACATGAATCTCTCAGCAAATAGTGTGTCCACTTATCATGTGCATCAAAGCACCTTCTTGTTTCCAGCTTCTGAAGCATTGGGAAAGCTATCAGTCAAAGTTAATTGGAGATGTGAAAAAAAGTTATGCAGATTTCCAGACATGGTCAGGAGATGGACGCTTTGATTCTATGGGGCACAGTGCGAAATATGGAGCAACACAACATCAAACCTGGTTTATTTTGAATTGCTTCAGGTATTATCGAATGATGAAAATCATTGTTTGTAGTGTTTTTACTTTCAATGATGGAAACATTTTGATTTTTAAACAGGCCAATGAAGTTGGTAGCAGTAATGCCATGGAACTGGAGGGAGCAAAAAGATCTTTTAAGTTTCTTGAGAAATCTGGGCTTACCATGGATGTTTTCATCAGTAACAGGCACAAAGGGATTGCAAAGTGGATCCGAAACGAAAAAAAAGAAAAAAAAATTAAAGGATAACTGGCATGTAAATAAAAGTATTGCTAAACAACTTAAGATGGCAGGTAAATCGAAAGGGTGTGAAATAATCAATGAATGGTTGGGTGGTATTCGCCGACATTTGTATTGGAGTGCTCAAACTGCTATACTTGGCTTTGAAGAGCTTATCATTGCTAAATGGAAATCTACTGTGAGACACATGGCTAACAAGCATGATAACCACCCCGATGCATTATTCCCATCGTGTGCTCATGGTCAGGTCCCAGAGCGGAAATGGATACCAATAGGTAACTTAAAATACTCAGCTAATGTAGAAATTGAATAGTACAAGGTTGTATGTCATACTATAGTCACAAATCTATACATGAAACACAATTTCACAACCTTTTATGAACTATTGCATATGATAAGATATGCTCTATCGTACTCAAGCCAAACATTTTGAAAGGCATCGGCAAACTTTCATCAGATGGCCAGACTAGTTGTCTTGAAGGCTTTCATTCCACCCTGAACCATTGGCATCCAAAAATGACTCATTTTTCATGGCTTGGAACATTTTGCAGGTCAGCATCTGTACTCTAATGTGCCTTCTAACAAATCGGTATGACAGCATTGACAATTACACCTGAAACGTGGGAGCATTGTGGTTTATAAAGTAACTTTATGTATATTACAAACAGGAGAAAACAACAACTTACCATTCACCAAGTGGAATTACGCCATCACTTCGTTGTTCTAATGTCGTAGGGAGAATTGCATCGGGATCATCTGGAGTATGCACTTCATCATCATCTCCTGCGAGCGGTTCATCGTCATATGCGAAGTCGTTTAAATGCTCGACATAACCCACGGATTCCGAGCTCGAATCAGATACGCATTCAGACATCGAATTCGAATTATCTGAGCACTGATTTGAGGCCATACTTTCCGGAAAACTTGTTTTTTTAATATTTTATTGAAAATACCGTCATTATTTGTTTTTAAGACAAGAAAAACGACAACAAAATCACCTGCTATAATATAATATTATATTGACGGAAACAGACGTGTTCAACTATCTACGTCACAAGTATCAATATGGCGTCGTAAAAAATTCGCAAATAGTACCCGACTTTGGAGGCAAATTTAAGCAACTTATATTTATCTGTTTAAGTCCAGCGACAAGTCATAGTTCTTCAAATAATGCAAATTTTCAATTAAGCTCATAAAAAAGGGGGGCTAAAATTCGTAATATAAGCACCTTAACAGGATATATCAAACTGGTTTGCTGTGTTGTATAAATATATGCTTATTAACATTTTGATAAGACTATATTGCTGACGATTCTGTTCCAATTTAAATTTATGCTAGACTGCAGTTTAGACGACACCCATAGCTTGTTACCGCGGGCTCGTTTTTGCTTGGGATTATAGGGTAGGGTTTGGGTCAGCATCCAAGGTGTCCGCTAAACTGCAGTAGTCCCCCATAAATTTTAGAAATGTCAATTTACTCTTTGTAGAAGGATCATTAAAGTTTGATGATTGAAGGTTTATAATGATTTGCAATGCTGTTTTTAAGTCTTGGGTTCCTTTATTTATATAAATTTTACTAAAACGAGATCCATTTGCCTCAATCTTCAGTTTATCAAGTGGTGAAGCCATTTTCAAAAAAGATATTTATTTAGAATATAATGCTGTAAATACTCTGACTTACTTTTAATGGAAATCGAATCTTTGGTTTTAATCGTGAAACCTTTATTTGAACTTCAAACTAAAAACAAAGAAAAATAATGGTACAAAAATAAGTTACAAAACTTTAAAATTAAACAAATCAACTGCCAACGGAAAAATTTATATCAAAGTTCAAATATAAAACGTTAGTAAAATCTGTGATACAATATAATGAGTAGCTAAACAATAATGTTTTAAAATCAATGTTTTACAGAATTTTACTTACCAAATATAACCCAAAACGACTATTTCTACTTTTCAAAACTCATTCCTTCGTTCCACAACGTAAATTCACAGTTTTATAATGAAATATTTCTTCGTTTTTGTCTTTCATTGTATTTTAGTGTAGACGTGTTGTATTCAAATGTAAGGGATGGGCTCTTCACGACATCCTTCTGATTCACTTCCTTGTAACTGGATACAGCTGAAATGTAGAGAATAATCATGTTCATTGTCCATATATGGTTCTCACCAGATTTATATTTTTTACAGACTTTTATAATAAATTACCAATATGATTCCGAAAAATTATTAGAATAAAAAATAGGCCAAAATGAATCCAAATATCGATCCAAATAGCCATTTTTTGTCACAGTTTGAGTTTCCAAACCAAAGATCAGCAGCTATAGTCAGACAATAGTTGATACTACTTGAGTCAGTCATTTTCAAACGAATAAAAGGATCATTAAAAAATACATAAATTATGTTGAATTCTTTGTAGCTTTAACCGTTTTGTGCTCATAAAAATTGTAAAAACTGAAAAACAGAAAAGAAATGAGCAACAGACAGTATTTCTGGCCACGTGACCTGGCTGGTCGTAAATTTTATCAATTTATCAATAATAATATGGACGATGTAAAACTTATCAGTATAAAATAGTATACGGGAAGTAATTTTCATAAATAATAAAAACAAGTGAAGTATCTTTCTCTTTCTGTAAGCACGAACATTACTAAAAAAGTAAGAGCATTGTAAAATGGGAAGTATAAAGCATTGAGTTGCTGAGGAAGACTTTTTTTCCAATCGTGGCAAAGAGGAAACTTTGTAATTTTATATTGTTGAATGTTTAGTATATAGAGGCTGCAAACGCTGTTTCTGGTTGTTTCAATACTCATTTTTGATGGTCGCATTTTATCGACGCATTTAATTAATGCATTGTAACGCATTTAGTTGAAGTCTTGAAGAGACGAATTGGATACACATTTTTTGATTTTAATACTCGTGGCAATGAATCAACGTTTGTCGTCAAAAGAATCGTGATTTAGCATCCCGCACAACAGAACGCTTAGGTTGTGCGACAATGGCACTAAAAATGTATAATTACATATCAATGTGGTAATGTATAATTGATGCAAATCGTTTGTGGTTGATTTGAATAATAAAATATTGCCGTTTTTGGTTGATAAACAGATCATTTGCGTTTATATGATGACACGCAATTTGATAAACTAAGCATAAATATATATTATCGTATTGTCCAAAAGATATAGCGCTATTTATTTTATAGTTTCGTTTGACGTTGAATTTTCTTTTCTCAGAAGTTAGAATCGTCTTATATACAGTATAATATCATCTGTGTATCTACTGAAAATGTGGATGCACAGTCAATGAATCCAAGTGGACGAGTATTCTGCCATTTAGTCAAACCTTACGTGTGTATCTGTGTATCTACTGAAAATGTGGATGCACAGTCAATGAATCCAAGTGGACGAGTATTCTGCCATTTAGTCAAACCTTACAATACAACGAGTAGCTAAACAATACCGCTTTAAAATCAATGTTTTACACAATTTTACTCACCAAATATGATCAAAGCGACTATTTCTTCATTTCCACAATTATTATTTCGTTCCACAACGTAGAGTCACAGTTTTATATTGAAATATTTCTCCAATTTTGCCTTTCTTCGTGTTATAATGTACACATCATTGAAATGCAAGGGATGGGCTCATCACGAGATCATTCTGATTCACTTCCGCACTTGTAACTGGATACAGCTGAAATGTAGACAATAATCATGTTCATTGTCCATATATGGTTCTCACCAGATTTATGTTTTTACAGAGACTTTTAAAATAAATTACCAATATGATTCCAAAAAAATTATTAGAATAGAAAATAGGCCAAAATGTATCCAAATATCGATCCAAATGGCCATTTTTTTGTCAAAGGTTAAGTTTCCAAACCAAAGATCAGCAGCTATAGTCAGACAATAGTTGGTACTACTTGAGTCAGTCATTTTCAAATGAATAAAAGGATCATTAAAAAAATACATAAATTATGTTGAATTCTTTGTGGCTTTAACCATTTTGTGCTCATAAAAATTGGAAAAACTGAAAAACAGCAAAAGAAATGAGCAACAGACAGTTTTTCTGGCAACGTGACCTGGCTTGTCGTAAATTTTATCAATTTATCAATAATAATAAGGACGATGTAAAACTTATCAGTATAAAATAGTATACGGGAAGAAATTTTCATAAATAATCAAAACAAGTGAAGTATCTTTCTCTTTCTGTAAGCATGAACATTACTAAAGAAGTAAGAGCATCGTAAAATGTGAACTATTTACGTTAAATTACGCACATGCATATTTCATGGGAAGTTTAAAGCATTGAGTTGCTGAGGAAGACCTTCTTTCCAATCGTGGCAAAGAGGAAACTTTGTAATTTTATATTGTTGAATGTTTAGTATATATAGAGGCTGCAAACGCTGTTTCTGGTTGTTTCAATACGCATTTTTGATGGTCGCATTTTATCGACGCATTTGATTAATGCATTGTAACGCATTGAGTTGAAGTCTTGAAGAGACGAACTGGATACGCATTTTTTTATTTTAATACTCGTGGTAATGAACCAACGTTTGTCGTCAAAAGAATCGTGATTTAGCATCCCGCACAACAGAAAGCTTAGGTTGTGCGACAATGGCACTATAAATCTATAATTACCTATCAATGTGCTAACGAAAAATTGATGCAAATCGTTCGTGGTTGATTTAAATATTAAAATATAGTCGTTTTGATTGATAAGCAGATCATTTGTGTTTATATGATGAAACGCAATTTGATATACTAAGAATAAATATATATTATCGTATTGTCCAATAGATGTAGCGCTATTTATCTTATAGTTTTGTTTGACGTTGATTTTTCTTTTCGCAGAAGTTAGAATCGTCTTATATAGGGCATAATATCATCTGTGTATCTACTGAAAATGTGGATGCACAGTCAATGAATCCAAGTGGACGAGTATTCTGCCATTTAGTCAAACCTTACAATACAATGAGTAGCTAAACAATACGGCTTTAAAATCAATGTTTTACACAATTTTACTCACCAAATATGACCAAAACGATTATTTCTTCATTCCCAAACTTATTATTTCGTTCCACAACGTAGAGTCACAGTTTTTTATTGAAATATTTCTTCAATTTTGCCTTTCTTCGTATTGTAATGTACACAATATTGAAATGTAAAGGATGGGCTCATCACGAGATCATTCTGATTCACAGCTTGTAACTAGATACAGCTGAAAGGTAGACAATAATCATGTTCATTGTCCATATATGGTTCTCACCAGATATATATTTTTACAGAGACTTTACCAATAAATTATCGGAGAAGAGATCAGTTACACGAAGGTCGAATAACGCTATCCATTGAGCTGAGTAGCAACGTTTTTGAGCGCTTCAAAAATATCTTAAAAGGGAAAAATGAACGATTCGAACTGAACAATAAATGAAATACAATATTGGTTCTAGAATTACGAAGTTTCATCATCATAAACAAAATATAACCATGCACATTCACAAATTTAAAAAACTACTATCCAATGGATAACGCTATCCACGCTTCGTGCAACAGACTACAGTATAAATTTAAAAAACTACTATCCAATGGATAACGCTATCCACGCTTCATGCAACAGGCTACAGTATAAATTTAAAAAACTACTATCCAATGGATAACGCTATCCACGCTTCATGCAACAGACTACAGTATAAATTTAAAAAACTACTATCCAATGGATAACGCTATCCACGCTTCGTGCAACAGGCCCCAGTATAAATTTGAAAAAAAATTTGAAGAGAATAAAAACCAAAATTGTCGAAATGGAAATGGCGAAACTATTTTTCTGAAATTCCAGGGTCAAAGATCAAGAGGTGTATTGATGTAATAGGTACTAAGCACCGATCGGCATAACAGACCTTCAATTTCTTATTGTCGTATTGTAAAGAATCTACGAAAAATTGACAAAACTTTTAGATTCAATAGATGATTAACTTCATTAAACTCCTTGAAAAATATGGGTATGTACCTCATACGGTTTTGATACATGGTTGGATACTCTTTTCTGTGATGATTTTTGTAAGTAATTTATAATAACTTTATAAAATAGAAAGTTTGATAAAGGCTTTGAAAATTAAATTAATGTCCTGTTTTTATAAAAGATCAAACTGTCTTCCTAGCATATTTTTTCTTATATTTATATAACAAATAGCTCTTTCCCTTGAAAGAGACATCGTTCCTGCAAGTTCAATATAGTACGAGAATATTTTTTGTGAACTCTATGTTATATCTGGTGTAGGTGACGTAATATTAAAAAAAGTAAAAAATTAGACTAAAAATGTAAAAAAACATAAGGATACAAATGTCGTTATCCTCGTTAAATTCCTCAAGGATACATCATTTCCCTCATTAAATACTTTAACAGTTTGACATTACTTTTATAAATTTCTTTATAATTTGTATTTGAACGTTTCCATCAGTATTTATACCAGTAAAGCAACTACAAATAGTCTCGATAATTCTGTCAATTAAACGCCTCTCTGGTTCAATAGAGTCTGGTGTATCACCAACAATATGACCATAAGCAATGAGTTTCTAAGAACAAAGAATATGAAATATAGAACTTTATATAAGATGAATGCATGACCTACATAGACATATGGAGGAATAAAGGATTTAGGTGAAAAGACACATGGGAGCTTGGAGGATTGGATATGAGTAAGTAATGTGGATAGATAAGGATAGCAATAATGACAAATTTTTTGAAGCAGGATCCTCTAGCTTATTCTGGGAGGAATTTAGGAGGAAAGTAATAAAAAATGTTTTGTAGCAACTTTATTTTGTGCTATCCAATTGTAATGGCTTAGAGACAACTCAATGACAATGTTTCCGAGATTAAATCTATTTCTTACAACTAAAGACTCCAAGTGTCCTAACACATCAAACAAAAACAACTTACTTGTGTTCAGTCAAGTGCAATGGTAAAAATCCTGGCACATTATGTTTGACAAACTTTTTCATTGATTAAATTTATTCCTAACAACTAAAGATGCCAAGTGTCTTTTCTGTATATTACATATTCTTTATTTCAGCTAAGAACTTTGTTTTGCCACCAAGGGGAACTCTGGTATAACAACATTACGACAAAGCAATTTATCTCAGTATTACCTACTATGACTGTAATTACAACTGACCTGTAACTCAGCAATAGTATCTTCATCGTCTCGCTTGCTGGTGCTTGGGAAAAAGACGACATTGTCGATCATTTGGATAAGTTCCAATTGAACGACACACTTAATGATCAATGAATTGAACATCATCCTCTCCGTCTGCACAACTAAAATAATGAGATGATTTTACGACGTTAAAGTACATACATGAAAAAATTAAAAAATGTCACTCGGGTGTTTGTTGAACATTTCCGTGTTCACGCTCGGACGATTTTTTCATTTGTCGGTAAAAATCGAACTTTTGAATATGCCAAACAAAGGACTAATTTATCTTATTAGAGGTCCTCTAAAATATAATAAAATAAGCAACGAATGCAAAAAAATAAAACAAAAATGAGTTTCTTAAGTTAGTGCTATTTTTTATGAAAAATAAATGTTAACAGGAGAACTAATTAGTAACATTATCAGTTGTATTAGTAACAATTAGCAAAATTATTAGTTCAATCAGTGCTAATTAGTAACATTATTAGTTCTATTAGTAACAATTAACAACATTATTGTTTCAAACATTGGAAAACATGTAAATTTTTAGAACATAAGCAGTTTTAAGAAATGTTACATGACGTCGCTTTTCACTTCAGATTGAGTTTTTCAAACGCATATATCAATTATACGTTTTGCTACGCCTTTCCAATAAACCAAATGAAAATTAAACACGTAAATGGCAGTACGCTGAGACAACAAATTATTAATCTAAATTGATTTCTAACACATAGTTACCTGGTTCGTGTTCTTCGACAGGTTCAAATCGTAAACTAGGCGTACTATGTAAACTAATGCTGTCTTGTTCTTTGGTTTCTACAACTGTTTCTTGAGGCATTTCCTCCTCTGTTTCATTCAAACCTTTTGACGATTGCTGACCATCTTGTTCGTCCTCGTCTGAAAAATAATACGGAAAATTTTCACTTGCTACTCAAAAAATGCAAGCTGTTGGTCCATACGAGTTAAAGATTCACACGAGCTATATTGCAATATGCGAACTTTTGCTTCATATGAGCTTTTAGTTCATATGAGCTTTTTTAAAATGCGAGGTTTAGCTTACCATGAAATATTTTCCAATCTTATAATTATGGAGACAATTGAAGAAAAAATTTTAGTTTAAAAGAATTCACAAACTTTTTATTTACCTTCCGGATATTTGGGCACGATATCATCCTCCAAGTCGACAGGTGACATTATCTACAATATACGTCAATTTTAAGGGTAATAAATACATAAAACAAACAGAATTGTTATGAAAGTTTGTCAATAATTTTAGAATGTCGGACTTTAAAACATCATAAAAAGGGGCGGATTACATGATCCCGGTAGACGGGATTCCGCCAAGCGTTATATCATTTTGGCAAATGGAAACGATTCAATACTTATCATCAGATAAATTTTCTCAAGTAATTAAACAATATTCTGATTTAATAACTACGCAAAACATTTAAAATTAAAACAACCAATTTGCCATAATTTGACAATTACAACCGGAATGACGTGTGGCGCTTCGCAAACATTTGTAATTTTTAACCTTGAGGTTTTGGCTCTTTTCAATGCCTTGAAATCATCAGGCTAGCTCGCTATCCGGGCCAACTCATCTCCATATAATCAGGCCCCAAGTGTAACTTACCTTGAGTGGTGATGACGCAGGAGTGACATCAGGTGTGGGTAGACTCATTACTTGTTGGTCAGCGGGTCTCCATTTCAATAGTTCGTGAGGTACAGTTGATTCAAATATCGTCTTTACACATTGACATGTCTTTTCCTAGACGTCTTCGGAGAACGTGCTGCCATTGGATATGACGAGATTTTCCAAACAATTGGTACCAGACCTCGCTAACTGCTCGTTATCTAAAGACATGTATTGAATGAACGAACAAAGCAGGACATGGTGTTACAAAGCATTTACAGTCGAACATGTAAGAAACTCTGATACTTCTTGTATACTAATGTACCTCAAACCAAACCAATCACAAACTGTCATAGTTTAAACCAATCACTAACTCTGATATTTCAAACCAATCACTAACTCTGATATTTCAAACCAATCACTAACTCTGACACAACGAACCAATCACCAAGGCAAATGCCAAGCACAAACACTTTGCGTAATCTCAAGCTTACCTTGTTTGACACACCACTCTAGATGGCCATACATATCATCAAGAAGAATTTCAGCAAGAATATCAAAATACTGAGTAAAAACATCGATGATAGCATATAGAGCGTGATTACAAGTTGTTGTCATCCATTCTGATTTCTATAAACAAACATCACAAATTTAAAAACATCCTCAGTTGATGTCTCATTTTATAACAAGGAAATATAACACCTTATACACGGACTTTATTCTATGTAAAGGAAACGACCTTCTCGCAGTTTAACATTACTCCCTCCTGATTTAAAGGCAAAAGCATTCTTTACAGGTGGGTAACTTTCACAAACGAGTGTTTCAAACCTTCCATACTTGTACAAATCGTTTACACAAAATGCAACTAGTGTGTGAATAGGGAATGCAAGGGGATAAGAATGGATAGAGAATGAAGTAGAGACTCTAGAATGAAAGTGGATAGAAGTGAATAAGAAATAGAGGAGGATATGAGGGGATCATTGAACTAAAATACATGGAACGCTACATGAAGCAAATAATTGAAGCCAAATCTTACACCCAGACACGCGTGTTTAGTGTCTCGAGATTCTCTCGCGGAGTGAAAATTGATTGAACTACACACGCGTGTCTGGGTGTAAAATTTAGCTTTAAAAAAACACTACGGTTTTCTATTACATGTAGCGTTCCATGTATTTTAGTTCAATGGAGTGGATACACAATTGAAATGGATGAGTGAATGAGGAATGAAGGTGGATAGACGTGAACACATGAAATGAATATTATTCCATGTAGAACTGGATAGTCGTGTATGTAAGTTGACTTTTTGCGATATAATGCGTGTTTTTGGCAATCATAGACAAGAAGACCACAATAACGACATATTATAAACTACGCGTTTTG